AAGAAATGCTTGCTGGCAGGAGTCTGATATAGCTGTCTTCTGAGAGACTCTGCCAGAACCTGACAAATACAGAGGTGGATGCTCGAAGCCAACTAGTGGACTGAGCATGGGGTCCCCAATGGAGGATTTAGAGAAAGGACTGAAGGAGCTAAAGGGATTTTCAACTTCATAGGAAGAACAACAGTATCAACCAACCAGACCATCCAGAACTCTCAGGGTCTAAACTACCAACCAAGGAGTACACATGGAGGGACCCATGGCTCCAGCTGCTTGTGTAGCAGAGGATGGCCTTGTTGGGCATCAATGGGAGGAGAGGCCCTTGGTCATGTGAAGGCTCAATGCCCCAGTGTAGGGAAATGCCAGGGCAGGAGGTGGGAGTGGGTAGGGGAACACCCTCATAGAAGGGGGGGATGGGATAGGGCATTTCCAGGGAGAAACCCAGAAAGGGGATAACATTTGAAATGTAAGTAAATATCCTAGTAAAAGAAAAAAAAAGAAAGAAAAAGAGGTAGAGATAGAAACAGTTAGTAAATGCAGATTCCTGGTCATGCCAGACATCTTATAAATTTTCCATGAGGAAATGCCCTTTCCATGAGGAAATGTTGATGTGGCATAAGCTACATACATTTTAAAGGTTTTGTACCAGATTTCTTTAAATACTCAATATTGATTATGAAAACCTCTGTGGTTGTTTAGACCCTCCCTCCCTCCTCCTCTCCTTCCCTCTCTACCTCTCTTCCTCTGTCCCTCCCACCCTCCCTTTTACCTTCCTCTTTCCTTTCTTCCTTTCTTTGTGCTTTTGTGAGACAGAAATCATGCCTTGAACACCTGATCCTCCTGCTTCCAACTCCCAAGTGTTAGGATTATAGGTGTGCTGCATTATGCCCAGCTAGGCACTTTCTCAATGTGACTGAGGGATTTTTAGATTTGCTAAGAACGTGTCTGCAGAGTATTTGTAAATGTGCAGTGTAAGTGTTAATGCCCATGTGTCTTTTTAATATGAAACTTTGGGTCATTTTTCTTGAAGGAAATAACTCAAAGTATGGAAAATACATCCACTCATTGTAGGATAACTCCTAGCAGGAGAAATCCTAAAAACTTAAATTATATATGAGGAAAGAATGGCTGTCTTGTTATGGTACATTTATAGTATAAATAACATATGAATAATTAAGTTTATATGCTCAAGAAATTTTGAATGATATGGGGCAATGTTTATGATACATACATTATGTAAAAAGAGTATCAAATATAAATTTTTATTGTATATATCCATAATATTGAAAATTCTACAAAATTGGATGGAGAAAAATAGATCAACACTTTACATCTTAAGAACTTCCCACATGTGACAGATGTCTAGAAAGAACATTTTTGTATTTAATGGTTTTTGGTTTGCTTTTGACTTCATTTAGGCCAGGCTGGACTCAAATTTGTGATCCTCCTGTTTGGGCCTTGTGAATGCTGGGATTACAAATGCATCTAGTGATATTATTGTCCAGGCTGAATATTAGAGTGTGTGATCATTTGTACCGATCACCAACTTCACCAGATCTAGGCTCAACTAGAAAAGAAGTTCTATCTCTGGGCTTACCAGAGAGGAGCTATTTAGACTAGGATAGCCTCTGGGAAAGCCTGTGGAGGACTTGCAGGATAGAGTTATTAGAAACGTGAAGACTCACCCCGAGTGTCCCAATCCTTGGGAGTGGATTCAGATGGTACACAAAGGAGAGAGAAGCTGAGCTGGGGGCCTCAATGCCCTTTAGTTTCTGACAGTGGATGCAGGAGGACCTAGCTCCTGCCACTGGCACTTACCTGCCATGATGGATCACACCCTTAGACTGTTAGACACAACAAGGCCGCCTTGTTTGTAACTTGCTTTGGTCTGGGTGTTTTATCATAATAGCAGGAAAAGTAATGATATAGATGGGAAGCAAAATGTCTCTATAATTTCCCCATAAACTCTAGGGTCCTGTTCTGGAATGATCTAGAAAGTCCCTTTTACACCTGTAGCCATAAACTACATCATGTGATATTAAAGGGGTTATCTCATAGCTTCATTTCAGTTCAGGAGAACAGCTTTATTTCCTACTTTGAGAACTGCCCCCCCCCTTTTAACATAATAGCTGAAATCCTGACTCTGGTTCTCACGCAGTGAGCAGTAGAGACGGCTTTTTACTGGGCAATGTGTTTTTTTGGGAAGTGATTTTAAATAAACAGAAATTAGGCATGCTGTTTAAAGATTACAGCAATATTTCTTAAAATGTGTTTCTGATTGGTAGAGTTTGTATCAGAGATACCTCCGATATTTGTTTTAAAATGTAGATATCCTAGGCTGGGGGCTGTAGCTCAGTAATGCAGGGCAAGTGGTCTTTGCTTCAATACCTAAAATGAGAGAAGACACACACACACACACAAACACATACACACACACACACACACACACACACACGGATGGGGGGTGGGAAGACATACCCAAAGTATTCTCTAACCAAACTAAAGTGCCCTGGGTGAGGAGATGGCTCGGCAGGTAAAGTGCTTGCTCTGCAAGCATGAAGACAGGAATTCCAATCCCCAGCACCTGAGGAAAAGAAGCTGGCATGGCTATGAGGAGACAAGAGCATCACAGGAACTCATTGGCCAGCCAGCTTAGCCATGTTCTGGGGCTGAGGGTACAATGAGACACTCAGAAAATAAGATCAAAGAAGACACCCAACATGGACATGCCACTTCCACATGCGTATGTATTCCAGCCCCCACTCTCTCAAGCACAAACACGTAAACACCATGTGCACACAGATGTAAATAATAAATAGCAAATCACCAGTTCTTGGGGAAGATATGCAGTTTAGAAATTCCTACAGGGCTCTTGTTGCCCCAATGGGCACGAGACAGGGCCCGATCTTTTTTCAGTTGCATGAACTCTGCAGCACCGTTCTTTTCAGATCAATCAGGATTGGACAATGAGGCCTCTTGACTCCTTCCCGGTAATCTCGTTCTCTGTTTCAGGTGGAATTCACTGAAAGAGCAGTGGGTAATTGCATCCAGGATGAGTTAGGCAGCAGCAGATTCCCCCTTCTGGGCCATCTCTCTGTGCTGTGCTTGCCCACAGAACTATTCAGCAGAACCCTCCACTCCTGTGTGCTACTTGGTTTTCTCGTTGCTGTGATCAAATGCCAAGAAGAAACAACACAGCAGAGGAAGGGTTTCCCTTGGTCCACGGCTTCAGAGAGCTCAGTCCGTGGTCATTGGGTTGTTGGTGTGTAGACAGACATCATGATGGATGGGTAAATGCAGGAAAGGGGACTGTCACCTCTTGTAGACGTCAAGCAGAAAGGAACTAGATGAAACTTTCAACCTTTAAAACCATGTCCACAGTGACCTGCTCCTTCTGACTAGGCTCAATCTCTAGAAGTTTCCAGAAACTACCCCAAATAGTGGCATCAACTGAAAACTAAGTATTCAAAACTTTGCCTTGGCACGGGAGGGGAACATCTCATCCCATCCTCAAATCATCACATGATGACTCACCAAGCCTCCCCAGATAGCTGATCCATGGAGTCTGATCTTTAGTCATCTACACCAGTCACTGTGCATGCTGAATTGTTGTCCCTAGGCTAGTGGCCTCAGAAGCCTCCAGGAGGTCATGAGTGTATCGCTTTTATGAGCAAGATTAGCATCCTTATATGAGATTCCGGAGAACTACCTTGTTTCCTTCCAAGGTGTGCTCTATAAAAAGGACTACTGCCCACGAGGAAGCAGGCATTGTCTCAGCTTGCATCTTGATCTTGGATTTTTCCAGCTTCAGACTGGTGAGCGCTAATGTTCTAATATCAGCAACTCATTTAATGGTAATGTTTTTTGTTTGTTTGTTGTTTTTGTATTTTATTTATTTCATTCAGTGTGAATGGAGTTGGGGACAGGGGTTCCTGTGGAGGTGAGAGGACAACTTGTGGGTGTCGAGTTTTTCCACCATGTGTGTCCTTGATGGATCTCAGGTTTAGACATGGTAGCAGGGAATGTTACATGCCAGGGCATCTCACAGACCCACACCCCCCGATATTTTACTGTAGCATCCTGAACACATTAAGATGTTGTATGTGTTGATGATTTGAGCAACATGAAACCTTTTACATTATTAATGTAAGATGGGGGTAATACCAGAACCAGACAGATGGTGAAATATTGCTTGTAAAACATTTAGTATGAAGTTTGCTACGAAGCAAGCATTAGACAGGTTTAAGGAACGACTTTACGTGAGTTTAGCTATACAAGGCTTCTAGACCTTGCTATTCTAGAAGTCCAGAGATTCACGTCCTCCAGGAGGGGAATGGGGACCGAGCAGGAGGAAGGTGGAAGTGATTTTGCAGATTCCCTTCATTTTAATTTTATGTGTCTGGGATTTATGTGTGTATGTGTAGCAGTGCTGTGCACTGTGCAGCCTAAGGAGCTCTGGGACTGGAGTTACAGGCAACTGTGAGCCGCTATGTGGGTGCTGAGAACTGAACCCACCTCCCCTGGAAGAACAGCCAGTGCTCTTAGCTACTGAGCCACCTCTCTAGCACCCTGACGGAGAGATTTGATACTAGCTGCTTTCATAGAATATCCGAACCCAATGTCCATTATTAAGGTTCACTCAATTCTGGTTGATCTCGAACTGCCTAGGATAATGTGAAGTAGCATTTGCAGAGCGGTGTGCACACCTACTCAGTTCCAAAGAGAGGCTGAATTCACACACATGCAGGTACACAGGCATACAGGTGCACGGAGACACACACAGACACACCCCCACACCAACACAGACAGAGACACAGATACACAGACAGAGGCACACACAGATACACCCCCACATTAACAGAGACAGAGACACACACAGATGCACCCCCACACCAACACAGACACACTCACAGACACCCCCCCCACACACACCAACACAGACATAGAGACACACAAAGACACCCCCACAGAAACACAAAGACACACACAAATACACCCCCACACCAACACAGACACACACACACACACACACATACACACACAGGCACACAGACACAGAAACATACAAAGGAGTCATATAGAAGTCATGGCCACCTCCTAAATTATTTTAGGCTCTAATAAAGACCTCTAGAGTTTGTGACAGTTAACATTACGAAATGTATTTACCCTTTTTGCCGTGTTGATGACTACTGACTGTATAACATGATTTATCCTTCCCCCTCTTCAAACTGTCATAGGACTAAAGACAGGCTTGTTACTAGTCCAGGAGCTTCTCAACTCTATCCAAGCACTTACTCCCCAGAAAACACTTTAGCTTGAGACGATAATCAGGAGCAGCAACCTTTTATATTATCCAGTTGCACAACACACTTCTGGAGTAAATCACGTATCCTAACTTGGGGTACATCACCAGATTCAAGTCCGAGAGGATCCGTTGCCAGTCAATCAAAGTGCGCGTCACTGGAAGATCCCTCCGTAATATTTTCCTCAGGGCTTCGTTAGACAACTCCTGGAGCTCTTCGACGACAGCAGCTTGAAACTTATTCTCTTGTTCTTCCACAAGCCTGGCGAAGCTGAGAGCCAACTGGGCTTGATTGACCACCTCCAGGCTCTCCTTTAGATCCTTGGAGACTTCGATATGAAGGTTGACGCATCTAAAATAGTGAGCTTGTACAAAAATTCTTCCTGTCACTTGGGTTAGAAACGGGTTTACCTGGAAGATCCACTTAGACTTCCAGAGACCGTTCCAACACTCTCCGTTGTCATAGCTGTGGTCTTCAATGCAAGCTATTAAGAATTCTTTGGTCTTGACTGTTTTTCTCAGCACGTTGCAGTTTCCGTTTGGGTAGTGATCGTTCACGTAGAGTTTCAAGGCGCACATCACGACGGATCTCAGGTACTCGGTCTCATTGCGAATGATTCCGTGGCTTTGGATGTCTCTCAGCTGATTCTGGAGCAGGTCAAACCTGAAAGAAAGTTTGCTCTGGTAGTCAAAGAACCGGAAGTCGCCCATCACATTGTGGTGAGACAGGAGGACTGGATTGCCATCGATGCAGAGTGGGACACAGTATTTTTGGCAGTGCTGATGACCTGCGCACTCACCCTGATGGTGCATGAGCTTCTCATCTCGGATAAGCAGACAGAGATCGTCAAAGGCATTCACAAATTCCCCAGGAGGAGCCTGGATCAAGAGTCTGTGGATGACCTTTTCCTTCTCTTTCCTACTCAAGACGCTGAGTGACATGTCTAGCTGCAGCAGAAGCAAAGCTTCTGAAATGAAGGGTGTTCACAGGGTGAGAAAGGGGTCCATGGGATACCTTGCCCATTCAAGGTGTTAATCATTCAAGCTTTAGAGCAGTATGTTGGACCATGAACAAGGGCAGTCAGTCAAGCTCTGCATATCCTGGTGATATCACAGAGAAGCACGGAATTCTAATGATGTCACAATGAATGCTCAAAAACTAAAGAAGAAAATGATAGTCAGTGTGGGGTTCAGCCAATGAGCTACACCAGCTGTGAAGGCTTTAAGAACCTAGCTTCTGAACAAGTCTTCTTCAAAAGTGGTATGCTTTCTCTGTGTCCGTTATATATTGTTGGCAGTCTGGAGACATTGCCTGGAGTTTAGATTCAGCGTTGGAGAGCATGTGGTCTCTTAACTGTCATATGGTACTGATTTCCACTCAGGTCCTTAGAATAGCTAGCTGCCCCACCCTCAAGGTAAACATTGTGATGAAAGGCTTGAGGGTTAGAAACAAAATAGGAAACCCAAAATGAGATACACTGAAGGCTGAGAAATGGCTCGGCCTGGAAAGGTACTCGCCACCAAGCTTGAGAACCAGAGTTGGGTTCCCAGGACCCATGTGTGGAAGGAGAGATAATGACTCCTGCAGGGTGTCCTCTGATCTCAATGTACACATTTTACACACACACACACACACACACACACACACACACACAAATGGAGTTTATTGAACATGCCAGTGGGATTAGAAATTCTCAGAACATAAGAAGTCTCTCTGTGTTTACGTGTGTACACTTTTTGAGTGCACGCTGATCTGCAAGAGCAAAGGCAACAGGCTGTGTGTTCTCTGCCTTTTCCCTAGAAAAGCGGCAGCGGTGAGAACAGCCAATGATTATCACAAAAGGACAGAATTACTTCTGAGATTAAGTGACACCTTAGACGAAGAGCCCTCTATGGGAGGACAAGCGGCCCAGATCATGAAATCATGGAAAGCCGATATCATGAGCTCGCAGAAGCAAGATATCCATTCCGAAGGTCTCTCTGCCTCATTTCCCCACTTGCTTGGTTCCTCCTCTTCATGTGACTCTCACTCTTTTTACACAGTCGTGAACTCAAGTGTCTGCCATTTTAAGTACGGGCTTTCTGCTTGTTTCCACAGTTCTGAGCTTTCTGGGTTTTCTTAGATTCCTGTATGTTACCGTTGTTCTTGCTGTGATAAGAAAATGCATTTTTCCATATTGAGCCATAGTTAGTAAGGTTAAGGGTTACTCATTAGTTTCAGCACTAACAACTGGAGCAGAAACTGGAGCAACTTTCACCTGTAGGACATTTGACTCGAGTAATAATTAAACCAGTCATAGTCACTACGGAATGCACAGTAGCCTGTGTTGAATAATGTTTTATGAATGCATCCAGTGCTATGACTTCTGTAAGATTAAGTGTTGATCTTCTCATCTTTCTTGATGAGGGAAGTCAGGTGGGTGTGACAATCTTGGAGTCCAGTAGGTCTCAGGATCAGGCTTTCAGACAAATCATGTGTAATAGTGGAGTAATGAATTTCCCAAGTGCTAACTTTATTTCTTCATTTTTAAAAAACTGTCCTGCATTTTAACTGAGTTATATCTTTTTTATATCTTTCGCATCTTTCCTATGGTTGAAAAAACTATCATTGTATATAGTTATGTATATTGCATATAGTATTTCAGTATTTAAGTATCTAAGCATAAGATAGATGATCCATTAGAGCTGAAGACAAATTATTTCTCTAAGAATTTTAAATCCCTCAGTAAGTGACTGAGAATTTCCTTAACTGTCTGTGCTTCATACATGGTTTTTGTCAAAGATTCAGGATGATTTTAGAGGTGGAAAAATCGGCGTTGAAGTTACTCACAAACTGCTTGATAAACTTGATTTCCCATGCCACATTGCTCATGTGAAACATATTTTTAAGGTGAGATGACACCTTCTCTCTGCCTGTTCTAGTCCATGAAGAGTTTACTACAGTGTAAGCAGACATTAGTAGATACTTCAGAACTTTACAAAATGCACATGGGGCTGGAGAGATGGCTCACTGGTTAAGAGCACTGACTGCTCTTGTCGAGGACCTGTGTGTAGTTCCCAGTATGCACATGGTGCCTCACAACTGCCTGTGATTCTGGTTCCAAGGAAGCCAATTCCTTCTTCTGACCTTTTCCAGTTCCTTTAAATAATTGGCACCGTATATACTCAGATACATATATAGGAACCTAAATAAGTATTGAAAAATACATGCAGAAAACTGGTATCTTAAGAACAGAATAAATTAATGGCTATTAAATTTTGAAATAATACCAGGATATTGGCTTGGAACAATTTCCTGAGTATATAGAAATAGTCATACGAGATCTGGGATAAAGGTCAAAATTTGGACTGTCTGACAGGATTAAATGTAAAAAGTGAATGGTAGTGTTTAATTCTGATGACATGAGAGAAGAAAAAAGCTCAAAAGAACAGGATAGTGGTGGTTGACACAAAAGCTGTTGTAGAAGAACACACTTGTAATCCTAGCATTTGGGAGTCTTGGGGGGCAGATGAAGAGTTCAAGGTGAGTTTCTGCTATGTATTAGATTTGATATTGGTCTGGCTTACATGACACCTGCTTTAAAAAAAAAGAATAATCAGTAATCACAGTAACTAATGAAATAATTGACAAGCCAAACCATTAGCGAGACAGAGAAAAAGAGAGAAGACTCAAACGAATAAATTAGTAAGGGAAAGAAGAGATGTTACAACTGTCCCCACAGAATTAAAGAACATCATGAGGGAATATGAACCACCACAGAGCAGCAGATTAGCAGACTTATAGGAAATGGAGAAATACTTCAACACACAGTGCCTATGAAAACTAAATAAAAAAAGAACTAGAAAACTTAAGTAGGCCAATAATAGTAACCAATAGTCATTAAGTGAAATGCTCAATAAAGAAAATCCCAGGGCCAAATGGCTTTTTAGGTAAAGATTTAACCTAAAAAGAAACCAAGACTCATCCTTTTAAAACAGTTCTAGAAAAATAGAAAAGAAAATGATTATAATGCTATTTTATAACCATAGCAAAATCCTGGCATCAAAGCCGAGCATGACCACCTCAGAACAGCTAACCATAAGCCAGTGTGTTTGCTGAACACAGATACAAACTTCCTCATCAATATCTTAGCAAGACAAATTCATCAGTCTTCAAGAAAGATTCTACATCATGACCAACTGGGAGCTGTCGCTCAGATGTGAGGAAGGCTCAATACACAGAAAACATTCCTACTCACTGCATCAAGAAAATGAAGGATAAAATGAAATTACACAATAACCTTCAAACACTCAACTCTTTTTTTTAATTAAAAAAGTATAAAGCTAGAGCTGGAGGGATAGTTTAGTAAGCAAAGTGCTTGGCTTGAGGACCTGGTTTTGGATCCTTAGTACTCGTGGGAAAAGCCAGATATTGTAATGAGAAGGCCAGGCTGACTCCATCACAGGCTTCAAATTGGCAGTGCAGGAAACTAGGCATAAATCTCTGTTTCCAAGAACTGGGAAATTCCAGGCAAGTCCAGGCCTCAGAAGCTGCTCTGTCACCTGGCCTGAGGTAAGGACAATGGTTCAGCAGAAGTTTCCAGACCTCCCCAGCAAGTATTCAGCCTTCAAAGTATTCCAGTAATGAAATGTCTGTAGAGATGGACCCAACAGATTAACATAGAGGTCACCTACTCTGGAATTTCCTAATGTGCTTTAAATCAGCCTGCAAGCTTACTTGGTTTTCTTTCTATTCTGGTAATGGGGAGACCCCAGCATGCTGGACTTCTGCAGAATAAAACACTCTGCGTTTACATACTATTTGAGTCTGGTGTATCATTCTTCAGTGAATCACGGACCCTGACAGTAACACATGCTTGTAAACCCAACCTTGGGGGCGGGTAGAGACAGGAAGATCCTGACTAGTCAGATAAGTCAGTCATTGAGCTCCTGATTTCATGAGATGCCCTGTCTCTAAAACCCTGTCTTCCAATATGGGAAAGTGACTGAGAGCAACATCTAATGTTGACCTCTGACACCTAATGTTGACCTCTGCCTCCTTGTATACACATGTGTATGTACTCATACATATACACCCAATCACTCACATAGACATGAACATGTACACATATAAAACTCTCAAGGAAACTTGTATAAAAAGAAATGATCTTAAGACAAAACCAACCAACCAACCAACCAAACAAACAAAAAACCCCACCACTGCCACAAGAAGAAAAAACAAAAACAAAACAAAACTCCGAATCCAAACTAACCAACTGAAAATACCACAAACCTCAGACACAAACAAAAAACTGAAAACTGAATCCAAATCCAAAGTCCAAACAAACCAACAACCTCAAACTCTTAAGACTTTCCTCTGTGAGCTGGAATAAGCTAACGTTTCCACACTAACTATTCTAATCTGTGTTACAGTGTAGGAAACACTGTGCTAGCCAGGGATGCTAGTTAAGATGAAGAAATCAAACAGATATAAATTGGAATAGCAGAAGTAAAATGGTCTCTAGTCACAGGTGATCTGATATGGAAGAATATGGAGGACTTTATTTAAAAAAAAATCTGCCAGCACTAATAAATCTGGTTAAGTGGCAAGACACAGCATCATGTATATAATCCACTGGATTTCTACTCACCAACAATGAATCCCTCCAGAAGAAACCAAAAAACAATTTTGTTCCCATTAATATCAAAATGAATCAAATACTAGGAATATGTTTACCCCATGAGATAAAATACTTATTCAAGACTAGAAACATCAACAAAAGAAAGTTTAAAATATAGGAATAAATGGAAAGATACTTTGTGTAAACATATTCATCTTAACAAAAGCAATCTACAGATTTGCGGTTCTCTCTCTCTCTCTCTCATTTTTTCTCTTTCTCTTTTCTCCTTTTCCTGATAAGTGAGAAAAAAGATCTTCCAATTCTTATTAGACCAAAGAAGACCTTGCATAGCAAACACGATCTTAAGAGCAAAGTTGGAGACAGCTTTCCATTTATAATTTGGTTTAAAAAACATAAGTAAAAAGTTGCAGCAACCAAAATAATATGCTGTGGTGTTAGGAGCTTTTTAATAAGTGTTTACAGTTGTCCTCTTACCCAGTTGTACTAGTATATTTATTTATCAAGCTTTAAGAGCACAACAACTGAGCAGTTATTAGAACTCTATTCTAATCCTCTAATCTGGTTACCTCCCAGCCACAGTCCCCAAGATACTTGCATTTTATGACTTTCTCTGATCAGCTGTGTTTCCTGGACTCTCTCTGTGGCTGAATCCCCTACTTCCTCTCTCCTGTCCCTCCCCTAGCTGGCAGGAATTCCAGCTCTATTCCCTCTGCTGCTCAGTCATTGGCTTGTAAACTCTCTTTATTGACACACCAGGGAACAGTTGGGGAGCTGGTGTTTACACAAAATTGAGATAGGAGATTCTCTGAATAAAGACTACAGCCAGATAGGGGAGATGGAAACCAGCATTTGAATTTTTGCACAGTGCACAATAACATTATGCTTACAGGATAGACATAAAATAGGTGTATAAACAAAGGAATGGAGATCCCAGAGATAAACCATTCTTATGCTGTCAGTAATCTTCAGCAGGGATGCCACGCACACCCAATGGCAGGAGATTCTCCTCAGTGAGCAGCCCTAGGAGGCAGAGTGGGCATCCACATGCAGTGCTTACGACTGGACTCTAAGGGTGCACAGCGACTCCATTAAG